CAAACTATAATATTTGTTAGTCAAATGTACACTTAAATATATATATCCCTCAATAGTTTCTATTCAATGTTCTAATTACATTTATATCACCAATAATTGCGATTATTTACAGCTCTCTCACACATTCAACGTAGCCTATAAAATCGTATTGTTTATTTAATTTTTATTTACAAGCACTTTAATGCAAATTAAACATTAATATATATATATATATATATATATATAGCGCTAAAAAATTTCTAAATAAATTATTTTCTTAAACGTTATTTTATGGTGTATAAACGTAAAAGAAAACCTTGAAACGTTTTATCGATTTACAAAAGGTTTTTTAATTATTCATATATACATAGATTAACTACTAGGCAGTAAATCATTGAAATGTAGACCAACAATATGTAAATAACCTGAGAAATTGGACTAATATATTTACATTATGACTGTAATAGTATACGATTAGTTCATTCTAGCGATTCATAGTACTAATCCGATGTATTACCAGAACGACTCGTGTTTCATTAATACTAATGAAATATACGCTCCTATGACAATTTAATTAGTATGAATGTTATTATTATACTTAAACAAATTGGAAATAACTATTTGAAAGATATATCTAATTAGTTAATGGATATACTATCGACTAATACACCTATGGCAAATTAATTTTATTTGATACTATTATAAATATTAGAGTCGTGTGTGCTTTCACTAGTTACACTGAATTTCATTGTTTAACACGAAAGGATATATCGTTGAATATCCTAAAGTGAGTAAGATAGAACATGATGCAAACCATATATGCAACCATATACGTACATACATATCGCCACGTAATTACATCGAAATTTTGATCTAATCGTGTTACAATAAGTATTCGGAGATTATATTTCTAAGCTTTCAAAATATTTAACCGAATGTCGTAACTACAAGTTATGAAAGAGATATCAATTTACGAAAAAACAAACTTAGAAAGAATAAGTCTGGATACTATTGGTGAAATGTACATTTCAAGCTCTCCAAGGCCACCCGCAATTAATGTTCTTATACAAATTAAAACGACTAATTGAAATATTGTACACGTGACTCAATATGCTCTCGATTAACAGATAATGTATTATTATTGTCATAAAATACTTTTTCTGAAGCTGATTATGTAATTTATCCTCGATCTATAAAGGATGCGTATCGATGGCCGGATCCGAATTTAATTTAAATAACAAATTAGAAAATGTCGACGTATAATTGTGGTATAATGCCTGTGGGAATGTATATACTAAATAACAAATAATTATAATAGTAATAGTAATTAAATAATAACAATAACAACAACAATCATAATAATAAATTAATACAGCGAGTATAATAATTGAACTGTCCGTAATGACGTGTAAAAAATACAAAATTACCTTTAAATTTATGTATAAATATCATTATAAATTGTATCCGATCCAAGCAACTTGTACTTAAAGTTAAAAGAAAATTTTTTTTAAAGTAAAAAAAAAAAAAAAAAAAAAAAAAATAAACACGTTATTTTATTTCGAAACCACTGCTAGAAATAAGATATGGAGAGAAAAAAACTTTATTTATTAAAATAGTCATGCTATTTCATGATTCATCAAATCATATGCTATTACGATTCCAATCGTCGATCCTATGAAATACAAATCTATCAAGCAGAATGGCTTTCAAAATATATCAATTGAAGCAATAATACTTTTTCCCCTGTGTTATACTTTTATTACAGATTTTTATTATAAAAATTCTTTAAAAATTAACACTAATAGGCTGGTTTTACCCAAAAGTGTACACGCACACACACGCGAACACAAAATTATTAATTGTATCTTGCATTGCAATCTTTATTATCTAGTTCTTAGAAAAAATGCTTACGTTATTTTGTAATAACAAGATGTTCGCGCGTCAGCAAATATTTACGTGTCACCGCGTCTACCGAATAATTAACGAGAGTAGAACATTTATTAGAAATGATTTAGAATGAAATTGTTATTTTTATTGCAGTTAAATGGCGGCATGAATTTTATGGCGATTAGCGTTACACAGAATATATCAAACCGAAGCGTTTGTCAATGGTCGTCGTATTATATTGATAATATAGAACGGCTAATTTTAATGATCTTTATCGAAGTGCTTGATTAATTTAAGCTAGTTTTATGTATTTTAATAATGAAAGTATCTCTCGATAACATCATGTTTACAAAGTCTGATGAACCAATGTTCTACCGAATGCCCGAAGATAATGTGGCATTTAGAAGAGAAATATTGCTCATGAAAGATCGATAGATTTCTCTAGATCGCTATGAAATAAATAAATAAATAAATGAATAAATAATAATAATAAGCGATAATCGATAAGCGTTTAAAAGGCTCGAGATTTAGATCAGCTGATAGTACTGTCGTCATCAATTATGATGACATAATTTGAAAACGTATTAGATGGATGCATTTGGTGTAATTTAACCATTGCTTAAGCAAAAAAAAAAAAGACTTTATTATGATTAAGTGGCTAGCCTCTTCCGAATATAATTACCGAGTTAAAATTCCAAATTTACGGTATCGTAAAATCGAGGTTATGTGTACAGTGGCGAAAGAATTTTCCCGATAAGGACTCGCCATCTTCCCATTCGGTTCGATGGCCAAAATTGCCCATTCGATTCGAATGGAAGCAAAGCTGACAATTGCCGAAAATAAATAAATCGAACGTTTGTCAATTTGAAAATGAAAGAAATT